GCCATCATAAAAATGCTTCAACAAGAAATTACAAACACTTTTGAAACAACAAAAAAAGAAAGTTTCAGCAAAGAAATAAGAAGATACAAAGAATAACCAAATGGAAAATTTGAAATGGAATAATATAATAACTGAAATAAACACATAGGATAGGCTCAATAGGATAATGGAATTAACAGAATAAAGAAACAGGGAAAAAGAGAAATTAATCTAACCAACAGAAAGAATATACACTGAAAAAACAGGAAGAGTCTGAAGGACCTGTGTGAAATAACAAAAGATCTAGCATTCATGCAGTTGAAGTCTCAAAAGAAGAAAAGAAAAAAAGGTGGAGCTGAAAAATAGCTGAAGAAATAATGGCTGAAAATTCCCCAAATTTGGCAAAAGATATAAACTTAGATTCAGGAAGCTGATCAAAGCCCAAACAGGATAAACCCAAAGAAATCCATGCCCAGGCATGGATTTCTAAAGTTTTCTTTGGAAAACTAAAGACAAAGAAAAATCTTGAAGGCAACTGGAAAAGAAATGACTGATTATCTACGGGAGAGCAACCATTTGAATGAGAGCAGATCTCTAATTAGAAACCATGGAGGCAAGAAGGAAGTAGCACATTTTTCAAGTGCCGAAAGAAAAGTTCTGTCAAACCAGAATTCTGTATCAAGTGAAAATAACCTTCAGGTAAAACCAAGACATTCTCAAATGAAGGAAAACTAAGAGAACTTATCACCAGCAGACTCCCCCTAAAAGGATAGCTAAAGGGAGTTCTTCATATAGAAAGGAAATAAACAAAAGGAAAGTTGGAACATCAGGAATAAAGGAAGAACAAGAGAATAAAAATATGGGTAAACATAAGAGACTACCCTTTTCCTCTTGAGTTTTATAATAATATTTTACTATTGAAGCAAATATTCTAACATTGTCTAATGTAGTTCTCAATGTATGTAGAGAAAATATTTAAGACAACTATATGATAAAGGGGGGGTGGGGTGGATAAACAAACCAAATGGTGGTAAGCTTCCTTTACTTCAAAGTGGTAAAATGTAGAGACCAGGAGACTGATGTCATGTTTGTTAAAGGCCCTCCCTTTTAAAGGTTGCTTCCCAAGAGCAACCACTAAAAATCTACACAAAGATATACCCTTAAAACCACCAAAGAAAAATCAACATGGGGGAATTCGCTGGCAGTCCAGTGGTTAGGACTCTGCACTTTCACTGCTGAGGCCCCAGGTTCAATCCCTGGTTGGGGAACTAAGATCCTGTAAGCTGTGCAGTGCAGCCAAAAAAAAAAGAAGAAGGAAACTCAACATGGAACTTAAAAAAATGTTCAAGCAATCCACAAGAAGACAGAAAATAAAAGAGGAACAAAAAACCCAGAGAAAACAAACAGAAGAACAGTAAAATGGCAGACTTAAACCAAACAATAGTAAAAGTTACATTAAATATAAATGTTTTAAATATGCCAATTAAAAGACAGAGATTGAAAGAGTGGATTAAAAAATGACCCAACTATATATCATCTGCAAGAAACTCATTTCAAATAAAAATTATATGTATAAATGAAAAGTGAAAGGATGGAAAAAATATACCATATACCATGTAAACAGGAATCAAAAGAAAGCCAGAAATGATATTAATATCAGATAGTATAGACTTCAGAGCAAACAAAATTACCAAAGACAAAGAGGGACATTACATGATGATAAATTCACCAAGAAGATATAGCAATCTTAAATATGTATGCACCTAACAACAGAGCTTCAAAATACACAAAGCAAATTTGATAGAACTGAGAGGAGAAATACCCAAATCCACAATTACAGTTGGAGACTGCTACAGCCCTAACTGAACAACTGATAAAACTACTAGGCAGAAAATAAGCTGGGATACAGAAGAACACCATCAACCAGCAGGACCCAACAACAGTGGAATACACATTCTTTTCAAGTGCCCATGAAACATTCACCAAGATAAACCATATCTTGGGCCAGAAAACAAACCTTGACACATGTAAAAGAACTGAAACATACAGACTATGTTCTCTGGCAAAAATGAACTCAAATTAGAAATCAATAACAGAAAGATAGCAATAAAAGTCTCCAAACGCTTGGAAACTAAACAACACACTTCTAAATAATCCATGGATCAATGAGGAAGTCTCAAGGAAAATAAAACTATTGAAATGGATGAAAATGAACATACCAAAATTAATGTGGTGCAGCTAAAGTAGTATTTAAAGGGAAATTTATAGCACTAAAATTCTTATACTAGAAAAAAGGAAAAATTTCAAATAGCCTAAGCATCTACCTCAAGAATCTAGAAAAAGTACAAAATAAAACTGAAGCAAGAAGGAAAAAATAATAAAAGTAAGAGCAGAAATCAATGGAAATTGAAAAGAGAAAAATAAGAGAGATGATTTCACTGATATATAGAATAATTTGAGCAATACAATATATTATGTAGTACTGGATTATAACCCAAAGTATAAAATAAATATATGTCAGTCCATACTGATATAAATAAGTTATTAAATAAAATTTTTAAATGAAGGAAGCATCCAAGGAAGTTCTTACAATTGCTTAATTTTGGGAAACAATCAGATTATCTAATAAAAAGCTCTTGGCACAGAAAATTACAATAAATGGTACCTATGAGAGGTAGGCGTGATAACGTCCATGTTATAATGACAAAACAAATGATTTCAGAGAGATGAAATAAACCAGCAAAGCAACACATGGAATCAATCTTTTCTAATGCCAAGGCTGGTTTTGTCCTACAGTATCAGGTTCTCTCTTTTATAATAGGATGGGACATATAAATGAAAAAATTTGCTTCCAGTAGCCCAGGTCCCCTATCTCTTGCAACAAAAGACTGATATTCTCACTGACTCGGAGGCAGCAGGCCTTAAGACTCAAAGCTCTTGAGTCACCTTATGTTCGAGGACTGGCTGTCCTAAATGGGAAAGTAGCAAGGTTTCTTTCTCACCATTCTGTAGTCAAAGCCTCCTCTGGATAGGTGGGAAATTTGTTCTGCTCCTGTTTATGTGCGTTTTATTCCCTAAGTTTTTCTGCATGACACAGACACATATAAATACACACTGATATTCTACTCTGCCCAGAAAGATCCCTGGCAAAAGGTGAAAATGAAAAGTGACCTCTGAGAAAGGGAGAAATGCTCTCTCTGGCTAACACCCTAAAGCAATGCCGCCCGCCCCCCACCACTTGCATGAGGGCAGGTGGAACCTGGACTTGTTTCTAATCAACAGAATATGTCAGACATGATGGGATGTCACTCCCTAGATTAGGTTATGTTATGTGGCAAATGTAATGGGATGCCATTCTCATGATTATGTTATATAAGACTCAGTCTTGGGCTTCCCTGGTGGCGCAGTGGTTGAGAGTCCACCTGCCAATGTAGGGGACACGGGTTCGTGCCCCGGTCTGGGAAGATCCCACATGCCGCGGAGCGGCTGGGCCTGTGAGCCATGGCCACTGAGCCTGCGTGTCCGGAGCCTGTGCTCCGCAACGGGAGAGGCCACAACAGTGAGAGGCCCGCATACTGGACTTGTTTCTAATCAACAGAATATGTCAGACATGATGGGATGTCACTCCCTCGATTAGGTTATGTTATGTGGCAAATGTAATGGGATGCCATTCTCATGATTATGTTATATAAGACTCAGTCTTGGGCTTCCCTGGTGGCGCAGTGGTTGAGAGTCCGCCTGCCGATTCAGGGGACACGGGTTCGTGCCCCGGTCCGGGAGGATCCCACATGCCGCGGAGCGGCTGGGCCCGTGAGCCATGGCCGCTGAGCCTGCGCATCCAGAGCCTGTGCTCCGCAACGGGAGAGGCCGCAACAGTGAGAGGCCTGCGTACCGCAAAAAAAAAAAAAAAAAAAAAAAGACTCAGTCTTAGCAGACTGGAGTAAAAGACTCTCCCCTAGCTGGCTTTGAAGAAGTAAGCTGCTGTGTTTTGAGAGGATCTATGGAGAAGGCCACATGGCAAAGAACTACAAGCAGCCTCTAGGAGTGGAGGGTGGTACTCTACCAAAAGTCAGTGAAAAAACAGGGACCTCAGTCCTCCAGCTGGAAGGAGATGAATTCTGCCAACAATCTGAATGAGCTCGGAAGCAAATTCTTCCCTAGTCAAACTTCCAGATGAGAACACAGCCCAGCCAGCACACTGATTGCAGCCTTGAAAGACCTTGAACAGAGAGAACCCAGTCATGCTGTGCCTAGACTCCTGACCCACAGAAACTGAGATAATAAATGTGTGCTGCTTTAAGCCAATAATTTTGTGATATCGTATAATGCAGCAACAGTTAACTAATACATTCCCTTTTCCTTTGCAGCCAAGGAAGACTACTTATAGTAGAAGTGAAGATAGACAAGGTCAGTTTCTCATCATTTAATTATCACAGAGGAAAGTCTGTAGGATTCATAAAACAATGACCAAATCCAGGTGCAACCCTGGCACTTTGCTGCCCTTGAGGCAGAAGATGACTAGCCTCACAAGGACTGGCCCATTTTTCCTGGCCTGGTGGTAGTGCTCTGAAGGCTGTGAGGACATACCAGAGCCCAGATCTCCAATCCAGTCCTTTCCTTCTCTATCCACAACTTCCTCATCTATCCTTTCCTGCACTGCCTCCCACCTGCCAACTTAGCTCTTTCCTATCATAGGCCAGATCTTTGGCTCTTTTGGTCCTTCCCAATTCTCCAAATCTGGCTCCCTTTGACTTCTTGGCTAGGAGAGGATTTATATTCTAAAGACAGGCACTTAGGTGTCATCACCAAAATGAAAGCACAGTGAAGGTTACTGTTTTCCCCAAAGGAAAAAGGAAATGGAATCTTTCTTGAAAAGCAAAAAAGTTCATCAGAAAACAAGCCTATCCATTGGCATGTAGTTTACTCCTCACGTCTCCAAGATCTGGGTATTGTAGATATGTAGGCAGAAGGTAGCTATCTGTCTATTTTTTAAGTCTTAAGAATTTAATATCTGATCTCACCTCAGCAGGTTTCTTGTGTTCATTTGGAATTTTTGACTTGCTCCTATACATTGAGCCAGAAGTAAAGGAAGTGGAAGGACCTGCAAAAGATAATTAGAAAAACATACTGAGACTTATTACCTGCTATTATAACTAAATGTCATCCAAAAGAATATGAAATATATGGTGGAGAAGAGCACAGTGACCTCATACCACTGAAGAAAACAGTTAAATTGCAACCAAAAAAGTTTCATAATGGAGTTTAATGACATTTATGGGTGACATCCCAGGGTGCAAAAGCTTCAACAGTGCTAACGCTGAGGAGATTCAATTTGGTGTAATCATATTTCATAATAACTTGGAATAACACAATTCATGTTCCATCTGGAGAAAAGGTATCTGCAAAAGCAACTGAAAAAACTAAAAATGTGGAGCAGGTAATCTGTGTAACCTTCAGCACTTCCCCAAATGCTACTGTTAATAAGGCTGTTGTCTTTTACAACTGATGACTCATCCAGTCAAACACTTAGTACCTGAGCTACAAATAGAACTGTAGGGCCTACAATTATGCTCTCATACTTTTCTTACTTTCTAGAAAAGGACTGTTAAATCATTGGTAGATGTGGCTTTGTTGCCTGGGTAAATAAAAAGTGAAAAACAAAATGCTATATGCCACATAAAACCAATTTTCTCACCTAACTTATCTATGTCTAATGAAATTTAAATAAGAAAAATGGTACTCCAAGCTTTCCTTCCTAGAAACATTATTTTTTAACCATTAAAAGAAGCATGAAACAGCTTGTCCTCAAGTCAAAGAAATCCTCAAGGATTACAGATACAGAGGTTACCAGCTGTTGGCTGGTTCTACTCACTCTCGTCTGAACTGTCACTGCTGCTGAGAGTTCTATGACGTTTCATCCTGGAGCATCCTGGGAAAGAGAACAACACTGAATAAAATAGTCAACCCACACATACCCATCCCAGAGGGCAGTCAATACTGCTCAAGAAGCAGCAGCAGGCAAATCACACAAATCAAATAATTTCTGTTAAGAATATTCTCAAATGACCTAGAGTGATGGGAGAAGAGTACTACCAAATTCTCCAATACACAGTGTGTCAAAGACTGGTTGAGGCCACATATTAGCTTTAGGAGGAAATCCAAGCAGCAGAGAATGAATGGTATAGGATTGGCTGGAGCCTCAGATGTGGCCACATGACCACTGTCCACCCAAACAAAGGGGGGCAGCCACAGGGTCATCATCAGCCAGGGATCCCCAATAAGAGAGGAGCAAGAAAGGAAAAAGCAGTTGCAAAGGCAGAGCTGTCAAGGGCCAAGGTTAAAAAGGCATGAGACATGGCTGGCTGAAGAAAGAACAAGTGAGGCATGTCCCATCTTTAAAAGCACAAACCACTGCTTTTCTGCCTACCCTTTCTCCCCCTTTCTCACTTTCTACCTGTTCCCATCCCACAAACAACTAGCCTAATTTAAAATTATATCTATCTATCGCAAGAAATGCTACAGAAAGCTCCTATATCGTGAAAAATGTTTTTAATTAAAACTTCCAATGGTTTAAGCATCCTTGTGTGTGTGTGTGTGTGTGTGAGAGAGAGAGAGAGAGAGAGAGAGACAGAGAGAGAGACAGAGAGAGACAGAGAGAGAGACAGAGAGAGACAGAGAGAGAGAGGGAGGGAGGGAGGGAGGGAGGGAAAGGGAAAGAGAGAAAGAGAGACCAGTGACAGATAAAAAAGAGGCACCACCTTTCTGGGAACACATCAGCACTAGAGAGTAGAAAAAAAGGAAAACACGGTAAGACACTTTAAGTCACAAAAGAAGTGCTGAAAATATAAACTAGAAAAGACAATGATACAGTCAATAACTAACATTCTTTTATGCGCCACAGTATATAAAATGCTACTAGGGACAATCATGATCCAACAAGGAATAAAGGTCAGGGCTACTGCCTTCAAGAGACTCACAATCTACCAAGGAGATAGAAATCCAAGTACAAGGCCACTATGAGCAATCAGGAGTAACAGAAACAAAACTGTATGCTAAAAAGCTGGTAGAGCTCCATTTCTGACATGACAATGTGAAGAGATTTGTGGATCCATTCCCCAGTGAAACTGGTGAAAATTACTTAAAAAATAAACAAAAAACACTCATTTAAAATCTCTGGAGGGCTTCCCTGGTGGCGCAGTGGTTAAGATCCGCCTGCCAACACAGGGGACACGGGTTCGAGCCCTGGTCCAGGAAGATCCCACATGCCGCAGAGCAACTAAGCCCGTGCGCCACAACTGCTGAGCCTGTGCTCTAGAGCCTGCAAGCCACAACTACTGAAGCCTGTGTGCCTAGAGCCCGTGCTCCACAACAAGAGAAGCCACAGCAATGAGAAGCCCATGCACCGCAACAGAGTAGCCCCCACTTGCCTCAACTAAAGAAAGCCCGTGCAGCAACAAAGACCCAAGGCAGCCAAAAATAAATAAATAAATAAAAAATAAAGTTCCCTTAAAAATAAAATAAAATAAAATAAAATCTCTGGAAATGGTCCTAAGGGCATACAGAAAATGAAGAAGCACTCATTAAAGAAAATCTACAACTCAGTACATAAAGTAAGAGTCTATGGTATTTGGACCTAGACCCACTCCCTCCATCCCCGCTCCCAGCACAGATATCACACCAGACAAGTGCAGCCAAGAACACAGAGCTCCCTCTCCTCCAGCTCCCAGTTGTAAAGCTGGGAAGAGCAGGATGTGTGTTTCTCATCTGGTCCGCAGCGACTACTGGTTGATGAGGCTAGGTTCCAGACAACTATGGCTGAGAGATGGGGGTTCCCTTCTTCCAGGTGGCCCCCATTCCTGGTATGGAGGCTAAGTCCAGGGGTGTGATACCACCAAGAATACTGAGGCCCTAATTGCCCTGGGCCCAGCTCGTGGGTTCTACATTAGGAGAGGCAAACCTAGGAGACCTGGGGTCACCACTCAGAGGGAAACACATCATTGTCCCCACCCCCTGCACTAGAGCTGTGGCTCAGAGATTTTGCCTAGGGGGAGAAGTAGGCCATAGAATAGAGGGCTCTAAATCTTCCCCCAATGGAACTGACTTCATTTGCAACAGTGTGTGGAGAAGTCCAAGCCTACAGTATAGCATGCCGGAGAGAACCAAGGAAAGAAATAGCTGGGAGGAACCATCCTGGGGTCAGAAGAAATCTCTAATACTGATCTCAGGAACTATCCCTTCAAAGGAGCCCTAATCTGACTGGATCAGTTTGGGGAGCAACATATGCCCCAGGGCACTATTAAAAACAACAGCAATCAGTGGAGTTTAACAGCTGGACGTGGTCAGGGTAAAGAGTCAGAAAGAGCCCTGCCAAAACCATAGTCAATCCCAGGGTGACTGTGGGCATACCAAAGGCCGCATGCCTAAGAAGCAACATCAAGACTTCACACTTCAGGGCAAAGGGCGAGAGTAAATAGGTTTCAATAAAATAATGCAGCCAGTCACTAAAAAAATTCACAAGCAAATAACAAGAAAGAGCCCTGAGGGGTGGTGGGGCACCAGTACTGAGTTGCTATGTTATATTATCTAAAATGCCCAGTTTCTAACAAAAAGTTACAAGACATGTAAAGAAACAGGAAAGTATGACCTATACACCAGCAAAAAAGCAGGCAACAGAAACTGCCTGTAAGTGCAACTAGATGTCAGATTTAACAGGCAAAGACTTCAAATTAGCCAAGTAAATATGTTCCTAGAACTAAAGAAAACCATGAACCAGGAAGAAAGATGAAGAAAAATGTACAAAGCCTGAGAGAAATGTGGGGTACCATTAAATGCACCAACATATATGTAATGGGAGTGCCACAAGGAGAGAGAGAAAAAAAGCAAAAAAAACCTTTTTTTAAGTGGCTGCAAACTTCCCAATTTAACTGAAAAACATTAATTTGCACATCCAGGAAGCTCAAAAAACTCCAAGTAGTTTATACTACTACTACTTCTACTACTACACTACTGTCTGCAAACAGCTGCACAAATAGACAGCATATCATGGTCAAATTGCTTTAAGCCAGACAAGGAGAAAATCTTGAAAGCGGCAAGGGAAAAATGACTCCTCACTTATAAGGGAACCCCAATAAGATTAACAGCTGACTTCTCATGAAAAACAATGGAAATCAGAAGGCAATGAGATAAGATATTCAAAGTGCTCTGTACTGATGTTGGCACATATCAGTGAATATATTAAGAATCATGAAACTGTACACTTTAACTGGGTGAACTGTATGGTACGTAAATTATAACTCAATAAAGCTGTTATTTAAAAAAACGAATAGGATTAGCATAAGTATCAAAATTATTGGGCTTCCCTGGTGGCGCAGTGGTTGAGAGTCCACCTGCCGATGCAGGGGATGCGGGTTCGCGACCTGGTCCGGGAAGATCCCACATGCCGCGGAGCGGCTGGGCCCGTGAGCCATGGCCGCTGAGTCTGCGCGTCCAGAGCCTGTGCTCCGCAATGGGAGAGGCCACAACACTGAGAGGCCCGCATACCACAAAAAAAAAAAAAAAAAGATTATTAATCAAATTCTATTTGTCCTACTATCAAAGTCAACTGAATATTTCTTTTCTTAAATTGTGATATAATTGACATATAACACTATGTTAGTTTCAGGTTTATAACATAATAATTCAGTATCTATATATTGCAAAATGAAGAATGTTTCTTTAAATAGGATGTTAACCTCCCGTCACATAAATTTTGGGGGCTGTGTTTGGTTCCCAGTGTAAAACTCAAGACATTCAAACACTCTTCTGAAATGCAAACAAAAACAAGTCACAAAACACTTCCCATCAAAAAGGAACATAATTTAAAGTCCAATGAATGTAGAAATTTAAAGATAAATGTAATATATTTTCTAATTATTCCCCATTGAATGCACAAATCTACCTAGAGTAGCACTTCATTTGTCTGATACCATTGGGATGTTCCATATATGTAAACTTTCCAGATAAATGGTGTGCCCAAACATTTAGAATCCTATTATCAATGGGAACTTTTCTGAAATATCCATTTATTAGTATTCTATTGTTGCAGCAATAAGTTACCACAAACTCAGTGGCTTGAAACTACACAAATTTATTATCTCTAATAGTAAGTTCAGTGGGTTAGAAGTCTAATACAGGTATTCCTAAGCTAAAATCAAGATGTTGGCAGGGCTGTGGCCCTTTCTGGAGGCTCTAGGAGAGAATCCATTTCCTTACCTTTTCCATCTTCTAGAGGCCATTCACATTCCTTGGATCCTGGCCAGCTTCCTCAGTCTTCAAAGCCAACAACACTGCATCTCTCTAACCCTGCTTCTATCCTTACACCTCATTCTCTGACCTTTCTCTTCTGTCTCCCTCTTCCACTTTTAATAACCCTTGTTATTACATCAGGCTCACCCAGATAATCCAGGATAATGTCCGTACTTTAAAGTCAGCTGATTAGCAACACTAATTCTCCTTTGCCATGTAACCTACCATGTTCACAAGTTCCAGGGAGTAGGTCATAGCCATCTTAGGGGGCCCATTATTCTGCCTACCACAACCTAATATATTTTGCAGTATTAAAATGAATATACTCCCACACGAATATGACCAACAGATTTTTGACAGAGGTAGAAAAGTAATCAAATGGAGGAAGATGGTCTTTTTAACAAATGGTACTGGAACAATAGGAAAAAAAAAGAACTTCAACCTAAGTCTCATGCCTTATACAAAAGTTAACTTAAAATGGATCATGGACTTAAATGTAAAAGTAAAAAAACTTTAGAAACACAAAGGAGGAAATCTTCAGGACCTAGGGTTAAGCAAAGAGTTCTTCGATTTGACACCAAGAGCAAGATCTATCAAAGAAAAATTCACTTTCATCAAAATGAAAAACTTGCTCTGCAGAAGACT